AGTGTCCAGGAGGAGGGATTGCCATAGGGTATTGTGGTTGGAGTTGAAATGGTCATGGGTGGTGGAGCTGGAAATGCTTGATGTTGTGGCAGAGGGTATGGCAAGGGTTGTGGGTACGGAAAGGCTGGTGCAGTGTGTGGTTGTGGCAGCGGTACTGTCGTTTGTGTTGGTGCAATGGGGAGTGGCGGTGGTGTGGCATGTGAGTATGGCCAGGGATACTGCATGAGGTTGTCGAGAAAAGTTGGTGAAGTTCGTCACAGCTGTATAGAAAAGCGGTCTCAATGGCGGCAGCGACAAGGCGGCGCAGCGGCGGAGACTGTGAAAGGTGTAATCTGTCATGGTGGAGATCGTACTGCTCTTGTTGAGGGTAAAAGTGCTTGTTGTAGGGCGGTGAAAGCTGTGGTGTGCAGGATGTAATGTAGTGTTAGGGTCATGCAAATCGAATTAAATCGTGATGCTCAGGTTGGCTAGCTTGAGTTCTTCATGCGGACAAGTCATGTCAAGAATGCACAAAAACGGCAAATCACTACAGAGTCTGTCAGAGAATAAATTCCCGTGGTAAGGCTCGGCAGCCTTTGTAGCAATTGATTCAATGGTTGTGTCCGTGACTTCCAGTGGAATTCCCGTGAAAAGTGGTGAGGTCAGTTAATGCTTTCACAATGAGACAGCGCCCCAATGACGGGGATCACACTCAGCACCCGAGTGGGACGGCTGAGCGAAACACACTCTGACAATTGTATTCAGTTAACTCAGTTACCACGCTGGGAAGGATGGCGGTGGAACAGCATGGCGAAAAGTCCGAGAAAATTGTAGGTGTTTGAACAAAGGTTGTTTCCCTTGACTGCGGTGACGAAGCGGCTCAAGTTGCAACGCTGCTGGGGAGGAAAAGGTTTAGGGGGAGAAACATGAACGACCATGGCATCAAAACACAGCACGGAAGAGTGGAGTAGTGTCACGGCGCAGGTACGTTTTCCTGATCGTCCAGTGTGGAGCTTCGTTGGCAGAGGCCACGACTGGAGATCCCTCTGCCCCCTGCTTGGGAATCGGTGGTGAACAAGTGGTAGGTGGATCGGCTGGAAGAAACCCTTTGTCCAGGGGTGGACACACACAATCTCCAATTGAGACATGGGCACAAACAGGAAGGTCATTCAGACAAGAAACCAAATAGCTCGCAACTGTCCACAGAATTCCTTTGGTGGGAAAGGCAAACCAATTCAGCTGGAAAGATCGGATTTGTTGGCACCGTTTTTGCCACACACACACACACATAACAAGACTATTGGACAGCGGATGGAGAGAAAGGCCAGCTCCAGTGAGCAATTGAGAGAAAAGAAAACACTATATAATTATATGTACTTTTAAAGCAGCTTGGTGGATACAGAGACAAGCACATCATGTCGGATGGTTGGACAAATGAAGCGTCAAGATGTTTGACATCGACGACGAAGAAGGTTCATTGTGGACATGAGACAACCGCCTTGAGAGACAACCGCCTTCAGAGCATGCGAGGAAGAGTCTCCAAAATCTGCCATGGGAAAAGAAACAAAAAGGGGCAACAATGAATGCGCGCCAAGCCCTCGGGCAATCCATTGTGTGGGAAAGCAATTGTCGACTCAGGCGCTCTAACAACATCATTGGGGTCGAAACACTGCAAGACCTCGCAGAGTTTTATTTCAAGCAAGAGTGAACTTCCACGAGAAGGTCTATGGTTTGCCTCGGGGGAATGTGCGAAAGACATTCAACATGGCCCCACACGAAGTCTTGAGAGTCCCTGCTGAACGCCCCGAACGATGGTATGATTCCCTCAGTCAGTACCTCATCAAAAATGGTTGGTCGGTTCATTCTTTGGATACATGTTTGTTCTTGAGACGAATTGACAAGCCCGGTGTTGTGTGTGTACACCTTGGATTCATTCATAGGTAACCTGTCGGTTCTAACTTGCGGCGCAGGGGGCATAGGTCCTTTCAGCAGTCACTACCTAACAAAGACACTGCTGATTGGATGTGATATTGGGGGAGGACGCTCCCTGAGCGTACCTGCGTTTTACCTTTCATTCCCCACTAGGGCCTGCTTGCAACTAGAACAAAGCTTCCAGGGATGCATTGAGTCGGGGACTGTTCAAGACCTCCTCTCCGCCGTTTGGTTTGCATCAAAAGGTTTGGTCAGTGAAATCTTGTTCCTGCGTTGACTGGAGACTATGCACGCGTCAACGTCACCGATGCTGCATGCGCTACTCCTAAGGACGGCAGTAGTCAAGGTGGACAAATCACTTTGCTTTTGGAGAAAGTCATTATGAAAAGGTGAGAAGACCCCCTTTGCAGTTCTAAACTGGACGAATAGACGTTTGCGCAGAGCTGCCCGAAGCTCCACGTAAGCCAAGGCCCAGATGTCAGCTAACGCACTTGACACACATACGTTCGTTAAATTTGTTGTTTTGATCTGTCTTCCGTTCTTTGGATTTGCAAAAGAGCGATGAATACCGATGCACGATTGAGTCGTAGAGGGTGTGTGATGCTAGAAATATGCTTGGCTGTGCTTGCAAGTTGAAACATCTGGCCTCCATATGGAAGAAAAACGCAGCGCCGGAAGGCTTAACAACAAGAGTTGGTGGATGGCCTTACCAAGCCTTGCCGTCATGGGCAACTCATCAATCAAGGCCCTGCAACCTCCATTCTGGCCGTTCGTGTATGATCCGGAATTCCAATCTGCGAACACAGAGAGCCTTGACAAGACTCTCAAGTGAGATTCAAGTTTGGCTGACAAATCTCTTGCAGCTAGGTGGTGATCAAGCAGAAATTTGGACCTGTGTTGGAATGAACATGGGTTGATCACCACCAACCATTCAAGCCAAGACGGCACAAGCCCCTTAGTTTGACCCAAGCACTTGCTCTTTGCGCCCCTTGCTGTTGAATCCGCACCCATGACCCCCATAACTCACTTCGTTCGCTAGCTTAGCTGGTGGCAAAGCAAATACAACCAACCAATTCAACCTCGCATGGAGCTGCTCAGACACTATGTACGAGCATGAAAAAGCTGTGCAACTTATCGTGGACAAACAAACAAACAACCTGTTGGCCAGCCAGCAGCGAGCAAGCAAGCAAACACAATCGATAGTGCTGCAAGGTCGGCAAATCCTGAACTCCTGAACCACTGTCTGTCTTGGGAGAAATTTGCAAACATGATTCATTCTGACAAGTACTTCTTCTTAGCAATCATCCTGCCCGTCATTCCTCTAGCGCCCTTTGAATAGATTCTTCGGTAGTCGACCGGGGCAAGTGGACATTCACCGGCCATGGACACGCAGGACTAACTCACACACAAGGCCTAAACATGTTGTAGGCTCTAAAGACAGAGACTTGAATCATCGAATAAGCCTTTGGAGTTGGAACATCAAAAGCAAATAGACTTAGACCGAGTCGATCTATATTGGATGTAAAGTACACAGTATGCGTCCTGTGGAAAAAAGAAACACGTGGAAACGGTAGTATGCAAGCAGGTTGTCACACCATACAAAGGGGCTGAAATGATGATCGAGATAGAAGATCCTACTGTCACTTAATAAGATGCAGCGACAATCACATCACAATAGTACTTGCAGCAATTTCACCACTGAGCGTTTTGCAACAAAGGTCACTCTCAGACTGTGCCTAGAAGCTACACCCACCACACAAAAAAACAGGTCAAACCGAATCTCTTGGGGACCTGGCCCAGCAGTTCAGAGCGTGGCTTGGCCAAGGGCAATTTGGGCCAGAAAGCTACATCAAAACTGAGTGAGGCACAAGTAACACTGGAATGAATCGCCACACGCTCAAACACTGGGTTGGTGGGTTCTTTGAAAAGCACTCAAATGCTAGGCCTGTTCTCGTCTAATTAGAATTCTCAACTTGACTGATGTGTCTGATACAAATATACATTATACTATATTAATATTATTATAAATTATATGTATGTATATGTTATATGTTATAACATAAGCTTCCTTATTATGCAACAATCTGCACTCAGGATTGTTGACAGCTTGCGATACTTGGCCCGTCCACAGGAACACCTCCACACCAAGCGAGGAGAACAACTTCCTAAACAGCGCCGTCAAGGCTATGTTCGCTCATTCAAAGTGAGAGAAAGGTCACAATCTCTTGCCCTGTCTCCGTATCTGCAAGGAGCGACTTAAAATTTAGCACGCATTACCATACCCCTGACCAACGGTTTCTCTTGTGGTCAAGCTCGACCAGGCGTGCTGATTCAGTGCAGACCCACTATGCATCATTCAGCCGTTTCACAGCAAGCATAATCATGTAGCTGACAGTTATATAGCATCACACACAGACTTGGGCTTTACCCTCAAATCCTGCTTGAAGAGCAGCATTTGCACTGTTTCCAAGTGTCAGAATGCTAGAGGAGAGCATTGTTCGCTCATTCAAAGTGAGAGAAAGGTCACAATCTCTTGCCCTGTCTCCGTATCTGCAAGGAGCGACTTAAAATTTGGCACGCATTACCATACCCCTGACCAACGGTTTCTCTTGTGGCCAAGCCCGACCAGACGTGCTGATTCAGTGTAGACCCACTATTCATAATTCAGCCGCTTCACAGCAAGCATAATCCTGTACTGTATGTAGCAACGGTTATGGCATCAAACACAAACCGGGTTCCAAGTCAGACTATGTGAGACTACTAGAGGAGGGCACCATTCGCTCAAAGATTCTTTTGCCGGCCGCGTCAACTGGACATCTGGCACGCAATTCCATAGCCTCTGACCAAAAGGTCTTGTGGCCCTGGATCAAACCGAGACTGGACAGACCTCTGTGTCTGGTGAATGCGACCATCTAATCCTTTTCATAAGAATACTCAGACCACTGTTTCCAGTACGGCATTCCGCCATCTGTAGCGCTAATTGCTGTCCATCCAAACTCTTGGGGGGCAGAATGGAAGGGTTCCGTATGTTGCCCTATTGTGCAACTCATTTTTGTTGCAAAGAGGATAAAATACTTCCCAGCAAGGCAGGATCAACAATGCTGAACTGAAACAAAGGATTGCATTGGGTATACTTTTCTTGGAGTACAGACTCCCGCTGAGCAAACGGCTCGCCTTTTTGCTCACACCACAGCGCAGCGTTTGTAAAGAGCAGCTCGAGCTAAAAAGAGCTCCTCGCTGGGCATGCCTTCTAAGCGCAACACGGGTGTAGCACCTGCAGCAAAACTGGTTGGTTCACTTTTGTTAAGGTGAAATTGTTTCCATGTATTTGTCAACAATGTTGAAGGACGAGGTTCTTTTTCCTGCTGGTCATGTGGTGGGGTCTTGACGCTGGACGTGGCTTGCCGTTGCTCGAACGAAGCGGTTTTGCATTGCAGCCGGAGTTATCATTGATTTTCAACCGTTGGCGAATTGACGCTTGCACACCCTTGGCTGTTCCGGTGGTGACGTGGTAAGTATAAATGGTTTTGGTTTTGGTCCAAGACCACCCGGAAATTGAATATATCAAGGTGCACATGCAAAAATATCAGGTTTGCCAAATTGTTGCACTCATTGACTGCTGGTGTTTAGGGTGACGGGATCACAGCTGCTCAAACGTACTAGCATTTGTCGGGCTGCGCGGTGGATTGTGGAGATCCAAAAACGGGCCAAGAAAGAAAAAAAACCCTTTGATCAGCAGACCTGGAGGCCCAGGTGATTTTGTTTGTTCTTGACGACCCTACTAGTTTCTCAAGTCCCTTTTTGTTTGGGATCTTCGTGCTGCTAATTATCGGCCCTTTTGGCCTAGCTTTGTTTCACCTTATATAAAGTGTAAACAAATATGCAAACATGTAACATGCGTACATATATGTTTCAAAACATGTCCCCAAGCTTCACTAGGACAGCCTTCCCCCAGCATCCACACAAATCATGCAAGTTGCATCTTTCACGCTACTGGCTTCTAGAGAAGGTGATGGCAACTCCTGGAATTCAGGAGTTGCCACGAAGACAACCTTTGACCCTTCATGGAGTTGCACCTTTCGACAACGCTGTTCAGAAACCAACAGCAGCAGGTCTTGTCCCTTGTAGCGGCGAACATTGGCTCAGCCGCGCAAGCCATTGATCGTCTGCATATATAATCCAGAGCCGCCCTCTTCAACACTGCTGTCTCCAGCCCTGGGCGGTTCGAAGTGGCGTAGCAGATTGAGTTGGATTCCTTAGTTTGGAGAATGCGCCGGACCTTTGTCAAAGAAAAGCGTCTACTCCTTGCGATATGTTCAGACGTCGCGCATCCACAGAAAAACACGCCAACACTCAGCACCCATAGTCCATAGTCTGTAGGGGGCCCGTACACGGACTACCTGAAAAGGGCTGCCGCTTGGAGCTGGCGCGTCTTTGCGCAACCTCCTCGTCATAGGCAGCTCAACGACACAAACACGCGTACCTGTCAAGGATGCGTCCGAAGCTGTCACCAAGCTGTCCCTTTGCAAGCCAAGAATACTGATGCCTGATACCCACTCTGGCTCTTTGGCAGTGAACACTGAACACCCAGCAGTCTGCTTGCATAGGAAAATTTTGCGCAAAGCTGCAAAAAGTGAAAACTGCAGCGTCTTGAAATTCGCCTGGCTTGCTCGCCCATAACCCACGGTTGCCTGGAAAGCCAGAGCCAGGTCAGAGCTGACCTTCCAAGCGCTGCGGCGCGCCAAAAAGCAAAAAAGCGTCCGAAGCCTGTCCTTGACCTCTTGCCCGCGCTATCAAGCTCGCCTCCCATGAGGTGGAAAGGTTGCCTCCAAATACGAAACCAGAAATGTCCAGCTTCGCAACCCTTTGGCGTCTGATTGGGCGAGGTAACAAGCTCACGCACTCTCGCGGACAGAAAACCTCAGCCCAAGACCAACTTGCACCTGCACCAGGCGAGGAGACGGTTTCGTGTACCTGTATAGCTTAGTTACGCAACGCAAAGTCGCACACAAGCGATGCATTTCTTCTTCGTGAGCAAGGCTGTCGCAGCCTTGAAACAAAATCGATGTTCTTCATGTAGGGATCAAGAACAAGCCTTGCGCTTGTTTGCGCCGTCTTGCATCTTCACATCCATGCACGGGCGAAACACATCACCAGAAGGTTCTCCGTCTCGACGAAGAAGTTAACAAGAAGTTAACAAATAGTGGCCTGGCCTTGATATTTTCTGCCCTGCGTTCATCTGAGCTCGGACTGCACCTGCCGGCTGGGCGACAAGAGCTTACTACCAACAAAGGATATCTAGAATCTTGGAAGACCTTCTTGGCCGGATCACTGCGTCCAGAGGGATGTAGTTAGGCTCGACCGATGCACCCATGCTTTGGACACTTACCACGCATCTGGCCCTTCGTGATTTGTTGGCCAGATAAGATGTCCAGTGGATAATCGAGAGGGTGAACAGTGGTGGAATCCTCGGCGCAGCGAACCATCTAGGTATGGTGAAGGTAAGAGGCTGAGATCGCGAAGCATCTGCTGAAAAATGCGCTTTTGTCCGTTTGGGCCGCCTTGCTGAAATTGGCACCGGCAGTGCGTACATGAGGCCGAGGTCGACCTAGATCCAAAATAGAGCTGAAATGTCCGGCCAGCAGGAGCACGTGAATTTGGGTAGGCGATGAACCCCATGAGACAGCTGCGTCCACACTGGCCTGATGAGCATTGATGAGTGACCGTGAAGAGGAAGAGGTCGTCAATCCTGGTGAGCAACAGGCATAGGTGGATGAATCTACCAGGAATCAGCGCAGCGCATGCAACTTCAGGTCTGAGCACAGATCTCCCAATCATCAGAAGTTGAGACGCGCGCGATGGCCTGAACTGTGAATGCAGTACCAACCATCTGTAGTCCATTGCCTGTTATGGTACAGCAGGTCTCCTGTATTAGCAACATCATATGACCGCAGGACTGACCCCAAGCAAGCCGCTCATCGTACAACTTACCCTTTTTTGAAGCATTCCAAGAAAAAGCCTGAAGCTGTCCAGTGTGATTTGTGTGGGCCACTCCCTTGGAAGCCTTGGCATGAAGTTCGTCTAGTAGCTGAGTTCAAGCCGAAAAGGAACTTCTGCACTTCGAGGTTCACAAAATGCTATGCCTGCCACGAAATCTGCACTTCGAGGTTCACCAAGTGCTGCGCCTGCCACGAAATCTGCAGATCGAGGTTCACAAAGCGCTGTGCCTGTCACGAAATCTGCACTTCGAGGTTGCCAAGCGCTGTACCTGCCACGAAATCTGCACTTCGACGTTCACCCAGTGCTGTGCCTGCCACGAAATCTGCTGAACTCCTCGACGATCACCACCATGTCCAAAGTGCTGCGCCTGCCACGAAAACTGCATTTCGAAGTAAAACAGCTCCGATCCTGTGCACCTGTCACGAAAAGCCGACTTGCAAGCACCAAAACACGAGGTTTCCCCTGCGCCTGCCACGAAAAATGACCATCATGTGCGAAAATTCGCACGGCACCACAACGAGAGCACAGTCGTTAGAAGCACCCGCCCGGGGCACCCAGACTGTGTGAGCCTGCGCAGTCGAAATGCACATTAGACACAAGTGAAAACTCTAGTTACAATGGAGGGACGATTCGACCATGATCCGACCATGACGCGAGTTCATTCCGCAACCGTCGTTCCGCAAAGTTGGGCTGGCCAGGTTCAGAGCCACGCTTTGAAATGAAAAACACAGCATTTCGTGCGTCGGGTGAAGCTAGAGCTAACTAGAGCGAGATCCACCTGGAGCTAAAGCGAACCAGAGCTACAGCTGACTGGAGTTAGACCTAACTAAAGCTAGAGCTGACTGGAGCTAAAGCTGAGTAGTAGTAGTAGTAGTAGTAGTAGTAGCAGTAGTAGTAGTGTAGTAGTAGTAGTAGTAGTAGTAGTAGGAGTAGCAGTAGCAGTAGCAGTAGCAGTAGCAGTAGCAGTAGCAGTAGTAGTAGTAGTAGTGGCTTTTGAAAGTCCGTAACACGGAAGTTTTGCACCCTAAACTTCCTTTGACAATACATACGTACCATTACATACATACCAGTACGTACCTACCACTAGGTACTTACCATTGCGTACTTACCATTACACAAGATTACGTAACATTATATACATAACATTGCATAACACTACATAGACATAGCACTACATAACACTACATTACATTACATCACATTACATGACATTACATCACATTACATCACATTACATCACATCACATTACATGACATTACAATACAATACATACACACGTGCATTTACAAGACTTGCTGTGTCTGCTACAACTTCCCAGATATGTCACAGAGAAAAGTCAATCAAGGATGTTCTCCCAACTGGTTCCCAACAAGGAACTGAACTGCATGCTGCATATGCAGAACAAGTACTTGTCACAAATTGTGGGAGTCACACTGCCGGCCTGGCTCCCCACTCTTGAAGCCGATGGCAGCTTTTCCCAGTTGAAGGATACGGCTACTCCATGGTCGATGTCCAGGTCCAGGTGGCTGAAAGCCCTGGGCTCACGTGAGCGTCTGCCAAAACATCTTGTAAAAAACAGGACAGTATTCAACAAGGTTATCACGTTTTACTCTCGTTTTTTTCAGGTCCCGGCCACAACAAAGCTGAATATATTCAAACACTGCCGCGGCATGGTTATCGCTTTTGAGGGTTGCCTATTTTGAGGGGCCGCTCTTTAGTAAACTGGTCATTGCACGTTTTGGTGCTTGCTCATGTGCAGGTCTCCTTGGAGCCTCAACTTGTCCTTGAAGATCTCTGAATGTTCAAGTTGGGAAATAATTGATGACAAAACGGCTTCAACCGCTACGGCGTGATTGTACGTTTCCACTTTGCGGCCTCGGGCACTATGTCAACTTCAGAGCTCCACTCAGCCCCCAATAGAGATTCCTGCAAAGCACTAAGTCGCAAAGCACCTCGCCCCATGCCCAGGAAAAGCGCTCCTGGCAAGGAACTGCAAATTTGAACACAGGAGCCTGTTGTTTTGCAGTTTAGGTATTTCACACTTTGCGCGCTTGCTCAACCCTCCCGGATTAGAAAAGTTGGTCGCACGGTTTCAACAATGTAGAAAATTGTAAAACAGCCTGACCCTCCAATCCCATTGTAAGACACTGAAACGTGTGAGGCATGGCAGGGCACAATGGCCTTGCCGTGGCAATTTAGGCGGAGCTGTTTCTTCCAAGTCGATGTCCAACGGACCCAGCTCAGGCTTAGCCACATCTGTCAAGCCCCGCAGCCGTGCTACCCGGACGCCGTCCAAGGATTTCCTTGTAATGGCGGGGCGTGATAATTTTCCACCCACGGACCCATGCATGGTCGAAAATGGTAATATAACTCAGTATAAACTCTATTCCAGCTATGGAAGGAATACAACACCATAGCTGCTGAACTGAGCCACCAAATTACATGAACGACCGCCAAGAATGTTGCCAATGATGTCTTTGTTATTGATGGGCAAGTGAAACAACAACTGTATGCGTTCTGTGTACCAGGTTCTGTAGAAACTTCAGCAATGATGCTCTCCAAGCGGCACAGAGGCACGCATTATTCAAAATCACTAAAATTGTCAAAAAATGCACCCACAGGTTGGGACAAGAAGAAACTGTGACGCTTCCCCCTAGCAGGAAGGTGTCACGGTTTCACGCGCATGTCCTACAGCTGAACGCGGTGCTTTGTGGCTTTGTGAAATGACCGTCTTTATGGAACTCAGACCTGCCACGGGCACTCTTTTCACGGCCAAGGACACTTCATTCGTGAAAATGTCCACCCTAGTAGCTTCTTGTTACTGGTAGCGGTGGCCTCCAACCTAATAGCGATGGCCTGAACCTAGTATATAGCTTCTTGTTCTATATGAAGTCACCGATAATGCTTTCTGCATGACCATGTTTACCCCAACCCCGAGAGGGCAAAAGAGCAGAACGGGAGAGGACATGAGGGCACGAGTAGGATGCTTCTACCAAGTGGAGTCCAGCCATACACTTACCGCAAGGTCACCAAAACAATGTCCGCTTGATCTTTGAATGCAGCATATCAAACATCATTGATTGAAAGTCCAATTGCCCTTTGTTTTCCAGGTGCAAGTGAAGGTTGTTTGCTGCTCCGCTGCAAAGTATATGCGTTCTACAATTCAATAGGCAGCCATACATCAGAACCACACACCAGCAATGGATCAACCAATATTCCAACTTAGTGGCCTGGCGAAGATATATGTAGATATCCCCAAGCACCCTGCTGCACTTGATGAAAAGAGCGGTCCTGTGTATATGAGGCATATATAGGCATATGACCGTAACAAGTCTAAAGTCCAAAGCTCAAGTTGCAAACAAGCGGCATATAGCTGATCTGTGGCCACAAATCATTTGTAATCTGCATCTTCCTGTGAGCATGGTCAATTCCAAAATGCCCCGGAGTGACTTGGTTCAGGTTCAGGCAAATGAATTTCGAAATTAGCTCACCCTCCCAAACCTGGATGGGAAGCCAGAGAAGGGAAGCCAGAGAAGGCAGAGAAGGCCACCCACCATTGAAATCATTGGTTGGTGGTTGCAGCATGTCCTTAGACCTAAGAAATGCTAATGAAGAACATGTTAGCCTTTCTTAGGCCTAAGTCTGTGGCTAAGCAGCCTGTTATAGAGCAGCCCCGTATGAGCTTCAAAGAAGCTACATCAATGACAAAGAATCTCGAACAGGTGGAACTATGCTTGAGCTTGACCATCGTCCCTTGGATTATAGAAGGTTATCTAATTTTCTTGAAGCTCTGTGTATTAAAAAGAAACGATGTCAACAATGTCTGTGTGTGTGTCCTCTTCGAAGAACGGAGCGCCAACTGCAAGGGGAAGTCTTTGGGACGTAGAATGTGGACCTCTGGTGCTGGCCTAGGCACATTGCTCTTCTCACATCATTTATATATACATATATGTGTGTGATCGATTGGGTATGCAAGCACCGTAGTACGTTTATGCTCCAGCTTACTCTAAATGTTTGCCACTATTTCGACAGTTGCAGCGCTCACTTCTCAAATAGACTAAACCCAGCGGAGCACTAGGGAAGCTGTCGCATTCTTTTTGTCGTCTACATCTGGAACATGATGGAACTATAGAAAGTCGACCATCTGCATGAGTCATAAGCAAGGCAGTAGTTCGTACATTATGGTGAGAGATCCATACAAAATCAATGTTCCTCTACTTCAATGGAAAAGATGCAGTGCAGTACAAGTCATCTCCAATCCCACAGCTCTGTGGACATGCCAGAGTGCGGGCAATCCAACTCTCTTCCCAATCGGCATGAGCCACAATATATGTTGTGAAACGGAGATTGTTAGAGTTGGAGATGTTTGACATTGAATACTCAAGGACAAGGAAAATACTGTTCTTGCTTCGCGGCCACAGGGGCCACCACATCGCTCTAAGTTCAGTTGCGGCCGCGAGACTGCATGAAACAACTTTCAATCACTATATACACTGTATTTATATATATATAAGTAAGCCAATCACAAATCAACTCGTGACTTCCAACTTGGTCCAAGTCCACCCTCAGTTCCTAGCTCCACTGTGCAAACACGCTTTGCAGCAGTGCAACAGTACTGTCTCTACAGAACGCAAAGTTTTTGTTTATGGGTCAAATAATGGAGAAGGTCTCTTTACACTTCACTCCATGAGTTTCCTCGTCCTCGTAACATTCTTCAGTAGTGCTAGTTGCGCTACACACAAATGGTGTTCAAACTCCAGAACCATTTTTGCAGTCAAATCACCGGTTCATCTCAGGCTGCGTTGAAAACTCGAAATAAGCCTTGAGCATGTCCCCGGTGCTTGTATTTCCACGGCTGGGCAAAAGCACCACGTGCCTCCCAAAGACGAGGAAGCAAACGGTGAAGAAGTGGCCTTCTTTCGAATCCACATGTCCCGTGTCCTTCGCTCTGGCACTGCTGTCGCACAGCGGGTTCGGGTTGGACAAAGCCAGGTGATTTTCAAGGTCATGAACCACATAGTCAAAGGATGTCAAAGGCAAAAAGTCGACAAATCGCGACTGAAATGACACCTTGCGGACCTTGAGAATCTCACTTGGTACTGTGCATGTACGAGGGCGGCGTTGCTGTGTGTTGCTTGATCCTAATAAAGTGTCATGAGGGCTAGGTAGAATTATCACAACTTGCGCAGACTCACAAGCAAGAGTGGACACTAGGATGCACTAGGCCCATCAGCGTGTCTCGGCACCACGACAAATCAGTTGGGTGAACTTGATGCTTCGTATCACGGAGCCCTGTCGAAGATCCCCGAGCCAACTCACCTTGGGTGTACAACAGGGACCTTGGGCTTTGGCTTGAGCATACAATAGCCGTGCCTTGGTGATGCAAGCTGCAAGAGGTTCGTGAGGTCAGCAGGCTCCAACCTTGCCAAGTCAGGTTGATAACCACCACCACCACCACCACCACCACTACCACCACCAGCAGCAGCAGCAGCAGCAGCACCGACTACGTCCATGACCAACGAATTTGTTCTTTACAGTGCAATTGAGAAAGGATTTAAAGGTGTGCGAATTGCACCGACATCGGCTAGGGCCGCTAGGGAGCGTATTGTCTGGCAAATACCGTATCTTGCAGTTGACCTTGACGATCCTTGGCCCGTGGGTGTGTCTGGAAAGCAGTCCGTCGCGATCAATACTTATATAAGTGAGCATAGGGGATTCAAGTTGCCTTTCTTCACGAGGCTTGAGGTTCATGAAAGAATGCTCTCAAACACTGAACATACGTCCTTCCCCGTCCAATCTCCCTCAATCACGTCTTGTGCTGTGCTCCTTGAAAGCCTCATTGTCAGGCTTTGTTGAGAATGGTTGCTGCAATGCTTTCAAACGTCTGGAGTATATAGAGACGGTCTGTCACTCTTCGATTGGCATCCAGTTGGTATGGAATGTTTTGGTAAAAAGGGATGTTTGAAGTCTTGAAGGCTCAAAACGTCCACAGGACTCCAATTCCCGCAGCGGTTTATATAGCTCTTTGGTGTTCACTCTGCTCTTGCTAGGATCAATCAGCGCACACCTCTCCACTTGTTTGATCCGCAGCACCGAGACAATGTCTTTTGATTAGTCCAATTACAGGAATCGTCTTGTTTGTCTACCTGACTCAGTAATAAAATTTCGGATGAATTTTACACTCAATACCCAAGCCCTCAAGCTTGCAAGCTCCACTCTAAAAAGGTGCCGCACAAGCGAGTGTTAGAAGAGATGCCAAAAGGAAATAACATCTAAACTGCGAAAGAATTCGAGCTGCGCGCGAACCTCAATAGTAGATAAAGTTGAAAGGCCCCAAACAACGGGGGGGTCGGCGGGGGGCAGTAACGTTCGTTGGACTGACGACAGACGCTTCGCAGTTGTGGTTCGAATGTCGGAGGATGACCTGGCTTTGTGTCTTGCGTTGGTTTTGCAAGTTCGTTTGTCTGGTCCTGCTTTCTTGTTAAGAACCACCCAGTGTTGGCCCTGTTTTCTTTTGTGGATGCGTTGTATCTACGCAATGTGCAATGGGGCGCCACTCCCAAAAACAAGGGTAACCACACGGGGGAAAGCCAACGCGCAAACAAGATGTAAGTGTGAATGCGACACACTAAGCAAAAGCGAGTGCCATTTTGCACGTCGGTCATCGATGCCCGTAAAGTTGCGGTAGTGAAAAACATGCACAAGCGAGCAACCAAGAAAGCGTCCGCTGTCGATCATCGAACTCATTGGCGCTCTTCTTGGCGGAGATTGTTTCTTGGCGCTCTTTTTCATACGCTGCTTGCGTCGCTCTCTCTGGGCTTTGCGGATTTGCCCTTCTCCCAAACACAGAAGCTGAGCTGCCCGGAATTTGTCTAGTAGCTCATGAAACCTCTTTTCTCAGTGCAGTGCATCTGCTAGTTGCTTCCAGGTCGGAACCCGTCGCAAACAAAGCACCCGATCTTCCACCAGCCTTTTCACCATCAACATGTCCAATGCTGTTTGTTTCTCACTTGCCATGCTTCCAGTCTTGTTCACATGGTCATTGAAACCTTTTGCATCAGTTATGACGCCGCCCTCCACATTGAGCTCTTGCCTCCGTCGAGGAGAAATCTCTGAGCGCCCATTGCATAGTGCATCAAAGAGTGCTCTGTTGTAGACGATCCTGTCGGCGGCGGATGTCATGGCGCATGCCTCTGCAGCGCCTCAGCACTCGATGCACCTTGCTGCTATGGAACTCCGGCAAACTGCTCTTGGTCGGCTGAATTCAACATCCTTGGTGGTCAGAAAATGAATCTCTGCCTCTTGCGCACTCATTGACTCCGTCTTTCCGAGGGATGCATCGAAATAAGTCACAAACATTGGCATTCCTGGGATTGGGTGCAAGGTGTTCTTGGCCCCTCCTACGTTCACAGCTGCTTGCATCTGATTGAGAAGGCCATTGGGTGACTCGACGTCTTTTCCTTTGGCAGAACCCACCTTTTGTGTCAACATGCTACACTCGGTAAAGAAATTCTGGCATCACCAAGTGTGCTGGCCATCGAAGCTGCATTGCCAACCTTCTACACGCCGACAACTGATGTCCTTCCAGAATGCCTTCTTTCTTTGTCTTGATTTCTGCTGGCTGGACTCTCTCCATGTACTCAGTCATGTCATCGATGGAATCCTGGAAGTGTTGCCCTGCTGTGAGGTGGATACGCCAAGGAAAGTGATTGGTTTTGTTCTTCATGCTCGGCCATTCCATAATGTTGAACTTTGAACTGATTGCTTGCTGAGCCTTCTTCATGCGCTCCGGCGCTGTCACAAACAAGCCACCATCAACGCATAAACAAAGAATTGCCACCACCTCTGACCCTTCCTTCATGATGAACGTGGCCCGGCAAAGCTCCAACTCAATGTAGCCAAGCTCTACAAACAACTCCTTGGCCCTCAGGTGCCATAATCTTGGTGCCTCTGATAGACCGTAAGCAGGCTTGCAGAACATCAAGAGCTCGTATGGCTTCACTGCTGGCTTATCGATTCTTGACGGGTGGAAGACCTTGTGGAGGGCGTTGATGACGTTTCTCGCGCTTGCCTGACAAGAATGCAGCGCTAACATCAAAGCATACCGCCTCCCAGCCCTTGGTGAGTGCTGTGACCTTAGTCATCTGAACAGCTGACCAGGTAGTCGCTGGTGCATCTGATCGAAATGAGCCTAGGTGTGGGTCCAGGCGGCATGGAGCCACAAGGCGCGATTTTGGCAGAAAGGCGCCATGGATCGCTCCTTTGTTCACTCGAATCAAAAGAGCAGGTGCGCGAAACAGATCATTGGGATTGAGGCACTTGATCTCTTCATCGCTAAGCCGTCTGACCACCTTATTCTCGATCCATGACGTCCATTCTTGTGCATGACTTTCTTTGAAAGCTTCTTTCTCCTTCAAGTCGAAGTACTTGGGATCAAGCTCTTTGCCGTTCGACTATGCAATGTGCAATGGGGCGCCACTCCCAAAAACAAGGGCAACCACACGGGGGAAAGCCAACGCGCAAACAAGATGTAAGTGTGAATGCGACACACTAAGCAAAAGCGAGTGCCATTTTGCACGTCGGTCATCGATGCCCGTAAAGTTGCGGTAGTGAAAAACATGCACAAGCGAGCAACCAAGAAAGCGTCCGCTGTCGATCATCGAACTCAAGACACAGTATCTAGACTCTTTGATAGACGTGTTGACGTCAAATTGTTTGTGGGATCCCATTTGTGCTTTTGTTCGGGAAACAGTTTTGTTAGAAGACTGTTGGCCTCTTAGCTTTTCTGACCTCGATGCTCTGTGGAAGTGTCTGAAAGAGCATGTTCCGGGATCGTTGCGAACGCGCACGAAGAACAAGGAACTTGCTCAAAGAACAGGGCAAACAATGTTTGCCAAAATGTTGTAATGAGAAACGTCGCGTGGCGAGCAAAGGAGCTTGCCTGATGCCCCCAATCCATTTGGCACTCAAAACACAGGTTTCAAGCGTTTGGACGTCATAAGCAAGCAAAAAATTACAACAGACTCAACTCCAAAATGAATGGCCTGCGCAGTGTTTTTGCACGTGCTCATAGAAAAGAGGGGCCGGTTAAGCCCCCCCAACAATGTTTTTGATGATCGTGCAAGCTGCCAAAATTGAAAACGCCTCGCTGAACGTTGACATCAAGCATCTTGAAAAATGTAGAATGCAAGGAGCCCGCGTGGAAAAGGTTGGCTCATGCCTTTTGCTGGGGTTCTAATGCTGCAGGAGAACCTACCTTTCAGCGTCACAGAAGGCATGAACATGCCAAGCCGCCAAGCCAACCTGTGTAAAGCCCACCTGGGCCCATCTTTCTTTCTGATTCAACCCCTCTTTTGCGCTCTCCCTCTCCTGTTCGGAAGGTTTGTTAATTGCACGATGTCGCCCACCCTTTCATCCGGGGCACTTCTCACGAACCTCGCAATGCATTGGCTCGCGAAAGTGTTCTCGCAAACTTTCACGCCACTCAGCCGCTTCTTCTTTAGCAACCTGGCTCAGGCTCAAAAAGCACTGTGACAACGGCGCTGCAAATTTGCTGTGAATGTGCTTTCAAATCATTTACGCAGGCCTCAATCCCTGTGAACACCATTGATGGTATACGTCCCTCAGCGTGCGATTGACTTTGCTTGTTGCCCTCCTGGTCCTACAAAGGCAGTGTGGCAAGAAGTCAAAGCCAAGCAAATACAGATTTGGTTTCAAAGTCCCAAGTTGTTTCTGCGTTCAACTGATTCAATAGAGTTTGGTGCATGAGTTTGATGGAATGCAAAATGTATATTATAGCCTATCAGAAATTGCGTGATCAGTTTGGAGTAACGAGGAGAATATACCCAGAACCTCAACTGATTAATTGATGTATTCAGCACACTGAGACACCACATCCGGCGCATCAGGTTTGACTGATCTCCTGCACTTTCCAAAGACGCAATTCGGCTTCAGTCAGGATTTGCCCATACCTTGGAACTACATTGGGGATCACTGGGGCACAAATGCGCTTGGTTTGGGCAACTGTAGAGCTAGTTGCATCACATGGCAACTGGGCAGCATTCTAAACTTTGGTTAAACCTGCAAGTTTGGAAACCGAATTTGTTTTCTGTCTATAACGTATATATGAAGGCTTGGTCAATTCCTTCAAGCTCAGTCCAAACCGCAAGGCCATGAACACGACATCAATTTGGAGGATATCATTCTTGGTCCAAGGGCTCGAAGGTTGGTGGTTCAACTTTTCGGAAGATGCATATGTTCCTGCGCCTGCCATGCCAAATGCAAGTGTAGTTGTTTGTTAAGATCTCTTGATCTCTTGTCCTAATTTTATTATCCGCGTGTAGGAAGTCTGATTTTTGGTGTCAGCTGATTTGGGCGGATTGGGGGTGTCCCACATCAGTGGAAGAAGGTGCAGCAACATAGGAGCTGACGTCAAAACTGTTTGTTCGCGGTCTCTGCATTGACAATTTAGGACGTCCCCTAATATCGTTTTTCTGGGTTTTGTTCTATCCACATCTTTGTGGCACTCCAAGCGGGAAATGAAACTGGAGAAAAAAGGAGTAGACAAACAGTCGGTAAACATCGACGAGTGGGTAGCAGCAGCAGCAGCAGCA